ACCTTCCAGCGACGAGCCCTAACAGTGTTGTAGGCATCGACATTTGCCTTACAACATTGTAGGCGCCGACATTTGCCATATTAGGCAAACACGATAAAGCCTGCCACATGCATCTGGACATGAACAGTATTGTGGGCGCCGACAATCATCTCATACCCGATGGTGTGAGCAACAAGACTAGGTAGCACACGTACGTACTCTCTCTCTCGACTTGTAAGGCCATCCCCTTCACCTATAAAAGGTGTGCGCTATCTCCCAACAGGGAGGCGGGCTCTCTCTCTTTCGATCTAGCTCTAGAGAACCTGAGCATTCGAACAGCTCCACAGCTCTAGAACTCAACAGCTACACAGAGCATACGCTCTAATACTTAGCGCACGTTAGAGCACCTGTGACTCTTAGCCACTTGGTTTAGAGTCCGATCGGGTCTCTAACACCCTCTTCTTATTCCATACTTGTTTGTAACTCCACAGCAAACTTCGAGCACCTAGGCTCAGGAATAAAGTCACCGACCGACTGAAACTGGACGTAGGGCACGTTGCCTGAACCAGTATAAATCCTATGTCATTGAGTGCTAGGCCATATCCGATCACAACGCACGGTAAAACTACAAATATTTACCTGTTGGTCACTTTTCGCACCGACACCGGCTGAAGTTGATTTGTTGTAAGATAAAAACACTGTTCCATGGCTGATAAGCCAGGCTGATAAGTTCAAATGCATCCAAGGAATATAATCCGTCTCCGAGTCATTCAAATTTGTAGCCTTAATTTGATCAAACATTGTTCATCCGTTCAAACATCCTCACAGAAAGTGTTACTCCTTCATTCCAAACTATAAGATGTTTTAGCTTTTCTAGATATGTAGAATTTGCTATACACTTACATATACATTATGTCTAGATACGTAGTAAAAATAATGTATCTCAAAAAGTTAAAATGTATTATAACTTGAAAGGGAGGGAGTAGGTGTGAACTATACTTAGACTACGATAATCCATAAAAACTTGGCTTACGCACAAACTTGAAAATATATATCGTTGGTATCTCTGGTTGCCCCCTTTTATCATAAAAATGTCGTTTTTGGTACAACACGGCCAATATTTTTTACCAAGAATGGAACCTAATTAAAATGTGAATTTAATTAATTTGAGGTGCTTGTATGACTAATTATTAACTACTCCTTTTCACTATAAGTCATTTTAGTTTGTCCAAAGTCAATCTTCTCCAATTTTGACTAAGTCTGTAGAAAGATATATTAACATGTATAATACTAAACGAATGCACCATATATTAAGACATTTTAATTAAACTAATTTGATTTTTTTGAGGATGTTATTATGTCCACTTTTCTATACTTTTTAAGTTAGAAAAGTTTGGAACATCAGTGTTTGGAACAAAGGGAGTGCTCTCACAAGTCACAAATGCTTTTTTATACAAATCTCAATAAGTCACCAAGATATTTCCCAAAACGTTAAAAATACTAGTGGCAAAACATTATACCGTGCAAGAGTGAAGGGCAACATATACATAATTCAAGTTCCTAATAACTCCTACCTATAGGTATGTTTGGTCCAACTTATAAGATGCTTTTGGCTAAAATAAGTTGTGACTAAAAGTAAAATGACACATTTTTTTACACTTTTATGGCCACGTTTCTCCCCACAGCACCTATTTATAGTAAAATGTATAAACTGGATCAGATCAACTTATTTTCATTTAAAAAGACTCCAGCTTATTTTGACGTATTGTATTTTTAATTCATTTGTACAGTTTCTCATATAGGAGTGTTTTTTTACCGCTCCATCAAACTAAACATGGCCCTTTTAGGGTCATATTAAACAGGTCGAAGTTCATGGAGATGCATGGAAGATATATGATGTGAAACCCATTAACTGCACATGCATGAAGCTTGAAGCATACACCAAACGTCTATGGTGACTCTGTGAATCTCGAGATCAGCCGGCCCAGTCCCTCGGAGGTGCTTATAGGAGTAGGGTTTGCGTACATATGATTCATAGAGATGAGTGTGCATGCGTGTTGGACATCTACGTTATAATGTGTAATTCTAAAATAAATACCTTAGCTAGTGATGGCTAAAGGCAAAAAGAAAAGAGGCAGCAGCTTCTTGGAACAATACCACGCAAAGGGAACGGTTGCTGACGTAGGACAAGTGACGTCAGTCACGGCTCCGCCGAGAACATTCTTCCTCTCCAAACCACGCGGGCCCCGCCCCCGATAACGGCCGTCCAGGGTATAGGACCGCCGTTACGAGCAGGAACAGGGCGAAATGAGGCAAATCCTTTGCAGAGCGTTGCTGTGAGGTTTGAATTTGATCAGCATAAAGTTTACGTTAGCTTGAAATTGTATATTTTTTTAGATTTAGGAACAAAGAGTATTCCGGCCTCTCTCACCCACACGAATGAGAGTAACTCAAAAAAAGACTATATCTTTTTTTAATTGTTATAAATAGAGATTTTGATAGAAAAATACTCTCCAACAGCAGCCTCTTTAAGTGGTTATCCAAATATAAGCATGATCTATTCCGGATTTCTTGCTAGCCAAAGATAGATAGCGAAAATGGCTCTCTAGAGTGTATAGGCGTCTGTGGCGACTTCGTGAATCTCGAGATCTGTCGGCTCAGTCATTCGGAGATACTCATAGGGGTAGGGTTTGCGTACGTGTGTTCATAGGGGGTGAGTGTGGGGGTGAGTGTACGTGCGTGTGTGGGCGTCTACGTTGTACTGTGTAATCCTAAAAAAATAAGATATAGAAAAGCTGGTGGAAAATGGAAACATATATAAAGTGATTTTATGCAGATGGCTCTCCAAATGATGATTTAGAGAGTGAATTTTAGAAAGACCCTTGGAGATGCTCCGAGTATAGCCGACTTGAAATTGTATATTGGGCCTTATAAAATTGTTCTATTATGAAAGCTGAGATACGAACCGTTGGATTCTACTTCTTCTGTTCCAAATTATATATTGTTTTGATTTTTCTAGGTATGTAGCCCTTTAGTAGAAGCGAACAAGCCATTTGTTTGTTTCAACTTGCATATTGTAACAACTTAAGGTGTCACTACAATTCGTGAGCTAAAATAAACAGGATCTTAATCGGAATAGAGAGAGAGAGAGAGAGTTTTGAGGATCTCAACTTACTTGTCAGTGATATTTTTGTGTTCCAATCATATCTTAGTTGGTTAGTTTTTTTTTAGGGAAAATAAGAATTTCCATTACTCAGACAATGCTCAATCGTAGGCAATTACAAACTGAACACATAAAGGGATTGAACCCAGAATCGGTTCAGCATCTAAAGAACAAAGACTACCAAGAATAGCTAGCTCGTGCGCCACCCTGCTTTAGTTGGTTAGTTTTTTACTGTGAGGCTGTCTAGCCGTTTAAGTTTTCAAGTCATTATTACAAGTGCATACAAATTAATTACTGTATTTCTTTTAGTAGCAGACACATGCATGTCCATTGACAATGAAACTCCTATATATGGCAATTTCGTCAATCATTTAGAGGTGTTCAATGAGGTAAGATGTACGCCCTTGATTTGTGCGTATAAGCATTTTGTACTATGATTAAGACAAAGGAAGAGAGGGGACACGAATTCTATATAGACAAATAAGCTACGAACTATACTTACTCTTTCATACTTTACAGGGATCCAGATACATATAAAATCATTTTCGTCAAGCTTTCATATTAAACTTCCCATTGTTGTCCCATTTTCATATTTCCCTGAAAATGTGAAAACAAGGTGGACAAATACATGAATCCACATCCGTTCTCACCCCTAGTATTTAGTTAAAGAAAATAGTTTACTCTCCCCAGTACAAATAAGTGATGATTTCTTGACTTCGACACAATCTCTAATACAAAATTGTAGCTAATATTATTTGTGTAATAATATATTTATTAAAAAACATGTTGCCTCTCTAGAAAAGTGTACCACTTGATGTCATTTTTCAAATATCAAAACTCGGTACACAAAAGAATTGATTTAGAACCAAAGATTAAAATGCCTGACTACATGGTGAAACCTGAAAACACTGTTCTATGAGCATCTCCAAGAGATTAGCTGAATTATTTTCTAAAGATAAATTTGGCTATTATTAAAGGAAAAAACGTCTCCAACAGAATGACTCTCTAAATTTAGTAGCTCTCCATCCCATCTCGTTCGCTCTCTGCTTTTGGATAGCCTATCTCACTAGCCATCCAACCTCTTGGTTTTACAGAGTCTGTTGGAGTACTCTAGTATTTTTCTTGCCAAAACCATTTTAGAGAGTAGCTAAATCAGTAAATTTGACTAGTATTTTTGGCTAATCTCTTGGAGATGCTCAATGACTGAAGGGAGCAATATCCAACAGTAACTTTTTGTTGCAAAAATTAGTTGTGTATCCCTATTCCTCCGTAAGGATCGGAGATGATGAGATGACAGTGGTTTTCTGGTTCAATAATCAAAACCAGTGGCAAAGTTGGGTAGGACAGCATGTGAACCCAAGAATTTGCTTATTCGTCTTCGTCATAACGACGTTAACGTCTCATCTGAGAAGATTCCATTCGATTGACTAAGCCTTGATAATAAATATACCACCCAAAGAGCTAGCTTCGTCGTCACTACTCTCAATCTCTCCCTCTCATCGCAATGTTTCATTCATTAAAGTTTGCGATAACATGGGAGCGGCAGTAGAGCACAGGACGTAGACGTACGGTCACCGGCGTCCATGGATTCAAGCTCACAGCCCGCCGCAATGTATGCCTCTCTCTCTCTCTCTCTCTCTCTCTCTCATCGTTTGGGGATGAATCAAATAATGGCTGCCAATTATCAAGGAATGAATGATTTTGTTCACCCTCTTCTTAGTCTTCTCTCTAGGCTGTTTTGATGCGTTTGCCTTAAACCACACTAGCTTGATCCGTTAGGCCGGGTTGGCAACTTATCATACCTTTGGCTCTCATGCATGGTTCATCATGTTTTTGTCCAATTTTCATGTAGCAACACATGGAGGTATATATTGTCCTCCGTCCACAACAGATGATCCAGTTCATGATATATGTATGGCCTAGCACTACTACGAAGTATATATACTTAATAATATCTTCCCTGACTACTTGCATGCAGCAAATAAATAGATTCATGAATCACCTATTTATTACCATCAACTTTTTTGAGCAGATCAGCTGATCCTGCTAGTCTATAGCTGCTATACATATAGATCAGCTTAAGTTTGCATCATTGTAGAAGCAAAAGTAATTAAGCACCTGACAGATATGTAAGGTTCACGACGACGACGATTTATGCGTGTCCTAGCTAACGTTCCTCGGCACAAAAAGCTGTAGTGATGCATCCAGAGGGAGCGGAGGAGGAGAGAGAAACCAAAGGGGGGAGGAGGAGGAGGAGGCGGCGGCGGAGGCCGGCAACGGCAGCCAGCTGGTGATGCCCGAGGACGGGTACGAGTGGAAGAAGTACGGCCAGAAGTTCATCAAGAACATCCAGAAAATCAGGTACTTGCTCCGTCCGATCCAACATGCATACGTAGCATTTTATTTTGGCATCGAGATTGATCTCGAACTCTCAATAAAGGTAGTGCAAACTTGAAATGGTCAAATCGTTTCCGCCATACGTGTACATCAGATTAATCAATAGCTCGACGTTGACCAAGCTTTGACTTGTCCATCTTCCGTTCCTGTGCATCAAATCGTTTTAATTGAGTCGATGTGACGCCCATCGATCGATCACTGGGATATACGTATAATGGAATGGATTGCCCCGTCCCCGTGCATATACATACATACGTGCAATGCTTTGCTGCCAGATCTTATCGTCACGAAGAAGAATCAACTGAAGAATCCTCGCTTTATTATTAATAACGGTCAACCAAATAAAGCCTGATGACTTGATGAGCAAATTGCACTACAAGTGTGTTGCATGCCAACTGATGATCCAATAATGGCGCAGGAGCTACTTCCGGTGCCGGCACAGGCTGTGCGGCGCCAAGAAGAAGGTGGAGTGGCACCCGCGGGACCCCAGCGGCGACCTCCGCATCGTCTACGAGGGCGCGCACCAGCACGGCGCCCCGGCGGCGGCGGCTCCTTCTCCCGGCGGCCAGCACCAGGGCGGCGCGCCTCCTCCAACAGATACGAGCTGGGCGCGCAGTACTTCGGCGGGGCCCGGTCGCAGTGACCCGGGTCAGCTGGCAACTGCTCCTGGGGTGACAACCGAGAAGAAAGGCCGGCGACGTCGCGTCGCGTACGCATGCATCAGCTCCTGCTGGCTGCCGCTGCTTCGATCGCTTTCGCTGCGCACCGGAGGGCAAAGGCAGGTGGCTGGTGCTGCCGGTGGCAGTGGCGATGCCGGTTGACGCCTTGCGCCGGCGCAACGTGATGTTGAGTGCGGATTAATCGTTGCTGATCCGGTCAACTCTATGGTCTAGTACTAGTGTACGGTACTATTAGGACGATGGTGCATGATTATAATTTAGATATATATGTATATGGATAAAAAAATAATTAGTTGCAACTGGGAACTAGCACCATCGCTATTATGTTTTGTATTTGCAACTCTAAAGTGTAACCTCAAGGGCAACTTTTGTGCTAGTAGTGGAAAGGCTCCAGAGGCCCTGGTCACCCATCTTGCATCGTCTCTGAACTGAATGCGATACTCTCGACCTAGCTTTATCAGTGGGATAAGCCTAATCCGTTTAGTCAGCTTTAACATTCAATCATTTGCAGATAGCACGGCGTCAATGAGCAATGAGTGCCGCACTGTACCCGCTAATGTCTGCCGACAACTGATCACTGCAAGTGCTCGATATGCACAACCTAACAAATTGGCAAAATTTAACCACAGTTCCCTGCGATACGAGACAGTTCGTTTCGCCGAGCATTCTTTCCAGAAGATAATTATACAGTACGTAGAATTCAAATTATTCACACTAGCATGTCTATCATTTGGAACATTTGGAAAAAGAAACATACATGTCTATCATTAGCCACTAGCAAAGAGGCACACCAGTAGCATGGTCTAATGACCCGTTCCCCCATACGGTGATAACCAACAAGATTAAGTCCCAGTGTCCCAAACGCTACGGCATCTCAAATACGACAGATAACTTACAACCAGTCACACAGTCCCATCAGTACATTGCCCTTGCCCACGTTACATAAAGTGCCAGCCTTTTCATCATCGCACAGCACACTGAAAGATACTCAGAAAAGACTTTAAAAGACTCGTGACTCGTGTCTCAAAGACAAAGTAGGGCAAAATTTATCTACTCTTGTTAGCACTCAACTTAAGTTAACGCTGCAACCACATGGGGCAAGCAGGTACCCTGCAGTTCACACAAACTACTCAAACTGTGACATAATGAGGTGTCAGTGTTCACCAGGGCCCTACCCAAATGGATCAACTTGACAAGTCCACCAGCTACCACAACAAACCCACCCAATCATGACACCGAAGCTCACAGAAATTACAAGATGCTGAAAGTTTCGCCAGATTTTTTATGTACAGTTAGAATTTATGGTCACACGAAAAACCTCATGGAAGCTTGTAATTAGAAGAACGTGACCTACTGACACCTCATTAGCCACTAGCAAAGAGGCACACCAGTAGCATGGTCTAATGACCGGTTCCCCCATACGGTGATAACCAACAAGATTAAGTCCCAGTGTCCCAAACGCTACGGCATCTCAAATACAACAGATAACTTACAACCAGTCACACAGTCCCATCAGTACATTGCCCCTGCCCACGTTACATACAGTGCCAGCCTTTTCATCATCGCACAGCACACTGAAAGATACTCAGAAAAGACTTTAAAAGACTCGTGACTCGTGTCTCAAAGACAACGTAGGGCAAAATTTATCTACTCTTGTTAGCACTCAACTTAAGTTAACGCTGCAACCACATGGGACAAGCATGTACCCTGCAGTTCACACAAACTACTCAAACTGTGACATAATGAGGTGTCAGTGTTCACCAGGGCCCTACCCAAATGGATCAACTTGACAAGTCCACCAGCTACCACAACAAACCCACCCAATCATGACACCGAAGCTCACAGAAATTACAAGATGCTGAAAGTTCAGCCAGACTTTTTATGTACAGTTAGAATTTATGGTCACACGAAAAACCTCATGGAAGCTTGTAATTAGAAGAACGTGACCTACTGACACCTCATTAGCCACTAGCAAAGAGGCACACCAGTAGCATGGTCTAATGACCGGTTCCCCCATACGGTGATAACCAACAAGATTAAGTCCCAGTGTCCCAAACGCTACGGCATCTCAAATACAACAGATAACTTACAACCAGTCACACAGTCCCATCAGTACATTGCCCCTGCCCACGTTACATACAGTGCCAGCCTTTTCATCATCGCACATCACTGAAAGATACTCAGAAAAGACTTTAAAAGACTCGTGACTCGTGTCTCAAAGACAAAGTAGGGCAAAATTTATCTACTCTTGTTAGCACTCAACTTAAGTTAACGCTGCAACCACATGGGACAAGCATGTACCCTGCAGTTCACACAAACTACTCAAACTGTGACATAATGAGGTGTCAGTGTTCACCAGGGCCCTACCCAAATGGATCAACTTGACAAGTCCACCAGCTACCACAACAAACCCACCCAATCATAACACCGAAGCTCACAGAAATTACAAGATGCTGAAAGTTCCGCCAGACTTTTTATGTACAGTTAGAATTTATGGTCACACGAAAAACCTCATGGAAACTTGTAATTAGAAGAACGTGACCTTCACTGGGGTCATCTGCAAAGAGGGGCATCAGAAGGAAAAGATTAGTTTTAAATAATTAATTTTAGTACTGCACACACCGTCACGAGTGATAAACAATAAACTGTCCTTTTGGAACACAGGAATTTCACAGAAATGATGTTCAATTTCAAGGGAATCAGTTCATTTTCACAGGAAAACACAGGAAACAGGGGGGGGGTCCCACATTTCAAAAGGAGCTCAAAGAGAGAAGGAAAGATCCCCTCAGGCAGCTATTTACAAGCCATGGCTTGCATAGCATAGCATTCCCATACATTGCTTTTTATCAGTAATGATATCAAACAGCAAAACAAATCAACCACTTCATAGCTATACATCAAATATAAAGGCAGATGAATATTTCAAATCACCCAACAAGAGTTCTCTGCCCTTAGCTTCTTACTAACCTTTTTTCTGGCATCTGATTTGAATAACCAGAATACCATGATAAAAGTTTGTTTCGAAAACACAGTAGAAAACATGATTCCAACATTTTTACTATCAAGTCTAATAACAAATAACATACAGGTGCCCAGTCCCACACATGTTCCAAAAATGAGTACAAGACATAGTGAACATAGTCAACAGAACAAGAGAATCTCAATTGTAGCAAGAGTCATGCATGCACTATGATTGAAGCATGATAAAAAGAACTACATACCATTGCTGAACTTTTCTAAACTCTGTCAGTACAGGATAGATGTTTTCGAATGCAGTGTAGGTCTCCTCTCTCACCTACAAACAATGGAGTATGAAATGAAGAAAAAGATAAGAAAATCACGGTATTATTAAGCATGTGCAAGAAATGACAACTAACCTTTGCTCCAGTCAAAACAATCTTGCCTGAAACAAAAATTAAAAGAACAATCTTTGGTTGTTTCATCCGATAGATAAGGCCAGGAAAGAGTTCTGGTTCGTACTGTAAAACAAATGAAAAATGTCATTATCCAAGAATGGAGACAAAAAAGGGTAAAAGAATTATTGTGATGTTAAAATAATCCATCATTGGACATACACTTGAGAAGGCACCATGAGAATATGCAAGGCCCTCAAGCCTAATTGGAAACTTGACATCACATGAGCCAACAATATTCTGAATCTTAAAGTCCTGGCCATAGAACAGCAACTTAGCAACTGATGTACAAATTGTTCAAAGCAGGTCAATGTACACAACTATGAAAATAGGTACCTTAAATTTAGCAGGAAAACCAAGTTTCTGAATAATACGAGCATACTGGAAATACAGACAAGTGTTAGAATTTAGAAGCCTCTCAGTAAACTAGATCCGAATTAAATAAAACGGTAGCAAGCCATATGGCACCTTTCTTGCCGCAAGCTTAGATTGCTGTTCGCTCTTCGCTCCAGTACATACCTGGAGATAGAAAATTACCAGTCGCTTGCTTCAGCACTACAACACTTATGATGGATTGATACAAGATTGTAGTTCTATATAAAAGAAATGCAGTTCTAATAAACTTTCTTCATTTGGAAGAAAAGTATTGACGCATCAATGCATTAAATTAATTTCAATATGACAACCAAAAAAGTCTACAATACTGAAGATATTGATCCAAATAAAATCCCAAGTAAACACCCGCCGTGATATATCATCTGGTAAGGAAAAAATAGATTTGCCTAGTAGGCTAGAGAGGGTAAGAACATTATTCTCCAATACTTGATGGTTGAGAGAGGTAGATTAGGACACAGCAAAAACAGAAAGATTAGTCTTTCTATCTTTTGACAACGCAGCACCAAGGCAACAAAGCAACAACAAAGTCTTTAAGTCCCAAACAAGTTGGGGTAGGCTAGAGTTGAAACCCAACAGAAGCAATCAAGGTTCAGACACGTGAATAGCTGTTTTCCAAGCACTCCTATCTAAGGCTAAGTCTTTGGGTATATTCCATCATTTCAAATCTCCTTTTATTGCCTCTACCCAAGTCAACTTCGGTCTTCCTCTGCCTCTCTTCATGTTATTATCCTGGCTTAGGATTCCACTACGCATCGGTGCCTCTGGAGGTCTCCGTTGGACATGTCTAAACCATCTCAACCGGTGTTAGACAAGCTTTTCTTCAATTGGTGCTACCCCTAATCTATCACGTATATCATCGTTCCGAACTCAATCCCTTCTTGTATGACCGCAAATCCAACGCAACATACGCATTTCCGCGACACTTATCTGTTGAACATGTCGTCTTTTCGTAGGCCAACATTCTGCATCATACAACATAGCAGGTCTAATCGTCGTCCTATAAAACTTACCTTTTAGCTTCTGTGGTACCCTTTTGTCACATAGGACACCAAATGCTTGGCGCCACTTCATCCACCCTGCTTTGATTCTATGGCTAACATCTTCATCAATATCCCCGTCTCTTTGTAGCATTGATCCTAAATATCGAAAGGTATCCTTCCTAGGCACTACTTGACCTTCCAAACTAATATCTTCCTCCTCCCAAGTAGTAGTGCCGAAGTCACATCTCATATACTCAGTTTTAGTTCATATAGGCAACAAAGCATGTAAAAAAAACAGATCATATCTCACATAGGCCATATATGCAACAAGAATTTTGATGTGAATAAATTT